CTCGTGAGAAAACACACACAGTTGCCTAGTGCCCTGTCTGCATGAGGAATGAGCTACTGCAGTGTAAATCATCCTGCAGCCCCATGCTGTAACCCTTTTTCAGGAGAAGTTCATCTGGTCTCATGACTTTTTCCACCTGGGATGTACAGTCCAGGAAGGGGGCTGTGCTGCATGGAGAGATGTATCTCCTAAGCCACTTCCCTGTGGACAGGGACACTGCTAGAGAGTGTGCTCCCAAGCTGTGGTCCTGTGCCCCAGACCTTATTTCATCATGTAAGTGGGCACCCCCTGGCCCTACTCATTTAAGTACCTGTGCGCTATCATGTGAGCCACGTTCCTTGCTTCCGCGTTACCCAAGGCATAGTGAGTCTTGTGTTGGGAGAAAAGAAAATCAAACCTTCTATTACAAAATCCATGGGCAGACCAGAGACCTGAAGAGAAAGGGAGGTGGTGACATGAAGAAAGTAGACTTTCAAACCTCTTCTGTTAACCAGAGCAAATGTTGTCTGGAACCAAGCATTGCTCTAACTCCAGCAGACGTACACAGTCAATCAGGACTGCAAGTGGAAGCCTTGACTGAGTCTCTGAATTTACTGCAGCTTTCTTGGATGCGCCAGTTATTTAATGGAGTCTACTAATCCTGGGCAGGAACAAGGGTGTAAACAGATGACCCTGCCACAGAGGTAGCAGTGCTATGCGCAGTGTTGGGACAAACGCAGGTACCGTGCGCAAATGCAAGATACTGATATTGTCACCAGCCAATTAGTAAATCTGGTTGCAATCTCAGGACGCAATTAAGATTAGCAGAGTTTCAGCTTTTTTCCCTAGCATCCAAATACACCACTGTTAAAAGTGAAATAACTTTTAGAATATAATTGCTTTTCTCTTTCTGCAGCTTTCAGAACTAATATAAAATAATGAGTTTTATTTCCTCTTTTTATAATGTGTTTCTCATGCCATTTAATACAGCATAAATGTTTGTGCTCCCCCACAGACCTGGGGAATGGTTTACTTTTCCTTTATAAAATCCCTTATTTTTGGTTTCTAGTCTACGCTTGCATTCATATTTGATTTTGAAAAAAATCCAAAGAAACCTCTTGCATGCATCTCTGAATGCAGAGTGGGAGAGCCCAAACAATTTGGTGTCACCGTGAGGTTACAAGGCGCAGTCTGTAAAGGAATCGTATTGAAGAAAAGAGCCAGGGAGAACCTGGACTGCATCACATTGGTAACAAAGCAAACCAGATATTTGTGCCTAGATACTGCAGTGGAAATATCCGTTTATGTAGCAAGATTTGTGCCTGAGAGGCAAAGTCAGAAATTTAGTAAAATCAAGCACTTGCAGAGGAATTGAGATGAGATGTAAGATTCTGCAATGAGCCAAGGTGGGTGAAATGGGATGTGAGGATTTAAATGTTGCCTACCATTGCATTGCCTAATTAGGAAGTCTGTTTAAGTTAACTGCTCATGCTATTCAGGAGAGAGGGTAACACAGGAACAAGCCATCTTTCTTGTACTTGAGCACACCTGGGCTTTTATTATCTCACTCGCTCATCCTGTGTTCCAAAAAACACAGCACGTGCTTCCAAAGCAAAGGTAACAAAGTCTCCTTTCTTTCGTGCATCGTCCTCTGAACTTAGACTGAGACACAATCACCAAGAGTTTGGTTTCTTGGATCAGGCCCACTGTTTGTTCTCTGGAAAGTGGGCTTTTTCTCTAGCTGGACTCCATCCAGTTGGCTGCCATCTGCTGCGAGCAAGCCGTTTCTATTCCCTTATAAAAATGCCACGAGTTAAAGTTTATTTAGCGAAGTCATTCCTTTTGGTCTGAGATCTGTGTTACACAGTGAGGCAAAAGATGTGAACTTTGAAAAACTGAAGATGTTATCAAAGACTTTTGATTAGACTGCAAAACAGCAGCAGGGCCTTCTTATTGATTTTCCAGTTTCAAGTTTGGAGTAAAAGTTTTGAAGTTGTTTGCTGATTAGCAGAAGAAAAGAAGGAATCCCAAACATGAGTCAGTGACAAAGAGCTGGCCCTGACTGGGCATGTAAACCCCACTTTTTATTAGTCGTGACAGAGAAGGTACCAAATATGACACTAGATTGGGTAATGCCAAATCACAGGGAGACAACTCAGAATGCTGTCGTTGTGAGGAGTCTGGAAAGCCGAAAAATTGGCAATACAAAGCAGACCATTTGGCAAACAGTGTATCATTCTTGGAACATATGTGTTTAATTATGTCCTGTGTCCTCTTGAGAGGAGGTGCCAAAGTTCCACTCTTAGCAGGTGGCTTCTAACAGAGTGGAACAAACAACAGGGAACAGTGACTGCATAAGTTAACAGCAAAAACAAATATATGAAACCTGGTAAAGCTGTAGAAGAATTAAGAGATGCAGAGTTGGGTGAGGGAGTTATATGAAACCTAGATTAGAAGTTTAGCTGGCTTGGTGGGAAGGATGGTACCTGGGATGGAAAGAAACACTGCTATTCCTAAAATGTGCACTTGGAGAATAAACAAAGGTGTTGGATTTAATACCAACAAGATTTGTTGATATAAAAGGTTGATACGATGCCTTAGAAGGAAAGGTGTGGGGAAAGCAGCACTGGAAGTTTTATTTACTGGAGATCCTACATTTTCAAAGCTGTTTTTAGCCTGGGATGTCATGTAATCCACAATATAAAGCAATTGAGAGCACGTGTCTAGCTTCTCATCCTCTACTGCTGATTTATCATGTGAATTTGCTGAGTGATTTATTGTCTGATCCTCCTTGGAGGGTAATTGTATCCATTCCCAACACTGTTTTAGAATTTCTAGGTGAAAGAAGCTTTGCAAAAGCAAAGCCTCAATTCTGGTTATTGCACGCAGAGGGGCTGATGCAATGCCAAATTTTGGTTCATAATAAAGAATAAGGGAGATGTCTAAGGTGTCTGGATACAAGAGGGAATAAATTATCAGCTGAGGTCCCCATCTCCTGAGTGCAGTTCTGCTAATTTCCTGAGGGTGCATTCTCTTCGCATTCAAGCCTTGTTGTTATTTTTTAATAGGTGTCTCAGACTAATAGCCACTGTTTTTTGCCTTTCAGTCAAAAGATGTTTTTAACAATCAGTTCTCACATGAGACTTGTTGATAATGCTCCTGTTTTTCTATCTTGTTATACAGTATGAAAAAGTGCTCTTTGAGAGGACAGGAACACTTCCTTAACTCTATCCGAAGCACTGAAATTTCCTCCTCCTCCTTTCTAGGGCAGGGAATGGAACAGAGAAATCTAGCTGAAAACCTTCAGTCCTTTATGTAGATACACTGTCCCTCTTCTGGGACAACAAGGGTGCCAGGGTTTATTCACTCCTCTCTACTGCAGGTTGCTCCTCCATGAAAGATGGTCCTGTGCCCTTCTGTGCGCAGAACAGTTCCACCACCAGCCTCAGGCTACCTGCTCCTCCTTTCCTTCACTGTGCCAGAAGCCAGGCTGAACGAGAAAAAGAATATTAAGACACTGAGACCACCATTGCTCCAAGCAATGACCCTGCTACAGAGCCCTTAAAGCGCGCTCCGTGACCTGTTCACCTGAGTCCCTGCGAGCGTCATCGTTCCATGACCTTCTGTTGTGCTTAGGCTCTGCATAGGCATCTCCTCATACACGTTTTCCTTCCAGGTCACCACCGTTGGCTGCAGGGCTGTGAATTGGTGATTTCTCCTGAGTGTGAGATTTCCTCACTTGACTTAGCTGACGTCTTTAGATTTAAGCCTCGAATGATGTTTTCTGCTTGTAGTTCATGTCTAAGGCCATCTGTTTCATTAGCAATAGTGTAGTGGTTTAGGGGTTGCGTTACAACCTTTGAATGTTTCTAGAACTGATATGTTTGTGTGGACAGCAGCAGGATTTTATGCTGCAAACTCCCTGCTGTCTTTTGGTATAAACTAATGTTTCTGTCTCGACAAAAGGTCACAGGCAAAACCAGAGCTGGATAATTAAATACTCCATGTCTTGAGATTCAAACCCACTATTGCTACCGTTCTGTTGGATTTGTAGAGAGTAACGTTTTTTGCTGCCCAGGGAATATTAAAATATGATTGTTTTATCTGCAGAAAGTCATTAAATATTACTGTGCTTTAGCAAAAGCTTTTCATAATGGACTAAACACTGCCATTGCACATCACTTCTCCTTTGTGTCAATGCAAGTTTGTGTTTGCTTTCATATAATTATGCTATTTTGTTGTTGGAAGATGCAGGTTGCCTTAGCCCATAAACTTGGTAATGTGTGGCCCTTTCGTCTGCATGTAGCCGCTACGCAATAGGCCTGGTCTGAGATGGGGGGCACCTTCGCAGCTTGCACGCAGTTGCCCTTCCAAGTGCAGCAAGCTCGTGAGGTTAGAGAGGGGAAGGAGGCCTGGGCCTCACACACAAGGATAAAACCATGGTAGAGCTCTGTTTCTGAAAATCAGGTGGGATCTCAGCATTTTATGTTCTGTGAAAGACATTTTCCCCCTTCCCACCCAATACACAGGAACGGAATTTAATATCTCCTTTTTCTGCAAGGTAGGTGATGTGTAGGAGTAAGCAGGACTTTTTGGAAATTGCTGAAGATTGATCGCGCCCTCGCCCAGCAAGCTATGCCTGTGTGGCACTGCCAGCGCACCAGGAGGCCTGTCCGTACAGTGGGACTAGACACCTGCTGATTCAGTCACTGAAGCAGCCAGGGAGGAGGCGGAGAGGGCTGTAGGAAGAATAATAGATCAGGCCAGAAGAGTGATAGGGAGAGGAGAGCCCCTGCCGAGCTGCTCGCAGCAGAAGTTGCCCAGGCTCCACAGTGAAGAGTAAAAGCATGCGCAAGGCTAAAGCATGCAAAGGACATTCAGCCTTTACTGAACAAACTGGTCCATTTTAAACTCCATGCGCATGTTCTGGGGGTGGCTGTTTAGGGAATCGTGTTCTCTCACCTTTATTGTTGTCTTCTTTTTCATCTAAATGACCAATTTTTTTTGCCCTTCTCTTCTAGATCTCGGACCTGATACGACAAAGCACAAAGGAGTCCCCGCTCTGGGAGTTCCTCAGCTTGGGGTATGCACTCATGCTCTGCCCGTTTGTCGTTGTCCTAGGAGGGATGTTTTTCCTGGCCACAGCCCTCTTCTTCCTAAGTGACCGAGCCAAAGCTGAACAACAGTGAGTAACCTGGCAATCGCAAACGGGGAGGTACAGAAGCCTGTTCTCTCTCCTGAACGTTATGCTTGTACTCTTTTCCTGCGCCTTGGTCCTTCAGGTAAAGGATATTGGGCTGTGATTTAAGAACCTCAGCTCAGCGGAGTGCATGATGCTGCACGAAGTGCAGGGGCTTGGGTCATGCTGGCTGGGCATCCTTTACAGGCTTCTGCTGTGGTGGATCTCAGTTGTTGGCAGTATGTCTTTGAGGGGAGCATGTTGTTTGAGATCACAGGCCCCTTTTACCCTTGCGTGGGCATGCCACAGGTCAGGCCAGCTGCGGTGAGAGGTTGCAGTGTGGGGGAACCTGTGGACTGCTAGGTGAAGAGCAAGAGATACCTTATAGAGCTTGGTGGTCAGCTTTGAATCCCTTAGTCCCATCTCTGCTACCTGTGCCCTGCTCACTGCCTCTAATATACAGAAGCATCAGGAAAGAAAGAAGAAAGCTGTGGATGTGGGGACATATACTCTCAAGGGTGGCTGTAGTAAAGATAGTCTTTCCCAGGCCCTCATTACAGCTTGTAAAAAAAAGCTACTGTTTTTCAGTAAAGAAACCGATTCGGACCACCTCACGGTTGGCAACTACAGTAATTCAGAAGACGCTTCCACATGACATACACACTTCTGGGGTTAGTCTTTTTCTCATAATTGTTGAACAATAAGAGTGTCTATGTATAATGTCTGAATACGTGGGCAGGTGGCTAGACTGGTGTTGGCTGCAAGTTGCCTTTGCCTTGCTCCCATTAGGAGGCGATACTCTTGTGGTGTGGTTGTGAAAGGAATTTGCGTTGGTTCAAGAACAGCTGCACAGGCATGCCATCGTAATGTCAGCACTGCATCAGGCATCGATGTCAATGTGAACTTTGCGAGACTGAGCTTCCCCTTTATACATCTCACTGTAGTATATCTGCACAAGGGTTTGTGTTGGTTTAACAACATAGATGTAGATAGGCTGGGCAAAAAAAATGCAATGAAGACATGTTGTGACACCTTGGTAATTGTGCAGCCAGAGAGAGGGACAGCAGAGTTGACTGTTCTACCTGAAAAAGAGAGGCCCTGGCATTACTAGATACGAGACAGCTAGAAGGAAAATAAGTGTGCACACAAGTGTGCAAACTGTTTGGGCGATACTTTCTGGATCACATAAGCATGTCAGATGGAGGTGAGAGATTTGGAACAGTGCTGCAGGCTGTGCAGTGGCCAGGTATGAGCAGTTCCACCTTCCATTTTATTAACACATACAAATACCAGAGAAAGGAAAGGCTTTCTGCTTCCTGGTGACCATAGGTATCCACATTCCACCTCTAATGAGGTGTTTAAACACTGTAGAGAAGACAAGACCGCATCACGGATCTTGTAAGGTGATTAAGTCCTGCATAGTTGAACTTCACTGCAGCTTTGGGGATGTGGGTCTGTCCTCATTGCACTCCTGCCTCTCACTGACTTGTGCCTGGTTTGTTGTCATCTCCATGTAAGGACTTTAAGTTGCAGTAAGTGAAACTGGAGGTCACACATTAGGAAGAACTTCCTAAGAGGAGGAGGAGGAGGTAAATGCTAAAGCAGATTGCCTGGGGAATCTGCCCTGGGTTCCTGAAGGCCCCAGCTTGGTCATCAGCCGGGAGGATGGGAACTGATCGCCGGCTGCCTTCCAGCCCTGTTTCTGTAATGGTGTTTGTAAGCTTCACGCGTGCGTCTAAGCAGCAATCACTCGGGGACGGGGCAAGACGAACTGAAGTTGCTGGGTGCTCAGCATGGCTTTTATTGTTGCGAGGAGCCAAAGGCCCAATTTGTGATAGGGCAGTAAAATAACACAGCAGATGAAATCACCCTCATGCTTAGCCATAACATTAGCCTTTGCTCGGGAACCCACCTCTTTCTAGAACAACTTCGCTGTATCCGTTTTCACTTTACTCAGATGGAAGACTCCTCCTCCTAAATGCTCACAGTTACAGTGCTTAAATGTGTCCCTTTGCACTGCCTGTGTTGCCAGCGCAGCACGGCAGCATCTCAGGTGGTGGAGGAGGATTTCGGTTTTCAGGAGTACTTTGGGAGGAGAGAACACATCCCCCAGCTCTGCTTTCTCCTGCATAAATGTGTTTCCTCCTGTCCGTTGCTGTCTAGCCTGAGCAGATTTGGTGGTATTCTGTTCATGCCCAAAGCGTCCCAACTCCCTACCACTGCCAGGCCACTTAGCAAAGAAACACGTTCAGGCTTTAGACTTATTGTTATTGCGCTCTTTCAGCATCCTTCCCTTTCCCGGTCTGTCTGGTTCCTGGTTGTTTATGAATTTTGTATTATTCAGTTACTGATCCTTTGGGTACTCTTGCAAACTGGCTCAGATACAGGGGGAGAACAATTGTCATAAATAATGGCTAACAAAGTAATTTATCCCAAACCTCTTTTGCTGCACTGCTTCTGCGTGTGCCTGCCCCTATGCTAGAAACACTCTGGCCTTCTACATCCAGGTTCCTGGAGAGCGCAGCTTGATGCAGGTTTGACACTATTCCAGTATCCTTAATCAGGCTGCTGGCTGCGGAGTAAGGCTTCTCTCCCTGCCCTGCGCAGTGGTGTCTGCGCTGTCGCTTCGGTCCTGTCTGCCGTTGCTGGCAGGTTCAGTGGTCTCCTTGGAAGAATTTACGGGGGAGGATTTGTTATTAGCTGCACGTTTGCCTGTGAGAGAAGACGGCAGAGCACTTTCCTATTAGCAGCTTAAAACTCCATGCTGGATGCCAAATCTGATGTCCAGCTCCCGCCTATGTGACAGCCCATCTGTGCTTGGCGCTGCGCACCTTTGGCAAGGCTAGCTTTCCGCCCGGCCAACACCCCCCCCACGCCCCGTATCCTACCTATTCCTGGCTGGCTACGGGAGAATTTCTTCTTCGAGACGCCTTGTTTTCCCGCTGCAGTCAGTCGTGCCGCTCAGACAACAGGACTTGGAAATGCACTTTGCCAAAAGAAATCAATTAACCTGCAGGAATCGCAAACACTGGTGTCACACGCCAGAGATTAAAGCCATTCATCACGAGTAGGGTCAGGGCGAGTGGACCGGATGTCACAGACCTCTCTAATGAACTAATATGGGAGCAAGAAAGTGTGACGCTGCTCTCTGCAGCCCTGCGCTGCCTATGGAGATGGAGCTTTCCCGTGCTCCTTTGTGTAACGGTATCTGTTTGAGCGTTTGCATAGAGATAATTTCTTCTTCCAGGCAGTGCAGAGTTTCAGGATAGCAACCCCTCTTTCCTGTAAAGCTTCCTCCAGTTTCCACCACGCTTCCTTTCAAAAACAGAATTTACCAGCTTTCGGTATCTCGTGGTGTTTTGATGCTGCTTTTATCATGGCCACAATTCTGGGCCTATTGTGTGGATTACTGTTTTAGTACAGTAATTCCATTCAATAAGATGCCCCTCTCACAAAAAGGCTAATCGGAAAAATTTCTTCATAAACCAACTCTAAAAAATCCTGGTTCTTTTATAATTACTTTCATACTGCCCCAGCAATTATTTAGCTTACAGAGGCTTTTAGTAAATGTAGGACTAGCAGACAAGATTCAGTGAATCACTCTGTCATAGAATCCGATAATTTTTGGTGCAATTTTTAAAATACAAATTTAATCTCACCCTTCCAAAGTGATGTGAGAGAGAGAATGGTGAGAGAATGGTTTCCGTAAGCGATCTTCTGCACTAGTAATAATAAATATCTCATAGCTCTTTTCGAAAGGACTAGGGTATAAATTTTGTTGGCCTTGTTATCGCTCAACTACAATACCTGTTGTGATTTCACTGGACTATGTTGTAGGTCCTGTCCTGTTCTGTGGTGGAGGGTTAAAGCAGTTATTTTTTCTATCTAAACTTGGCTGCACTCCATACTGTGTTTCTCTATCTGCTTCATGAAATTTGTGAGACCTGAGTTATAGTTTGAGATCCGCTGGAAGACAGTATCTGCAAGCGCAGTATCTGGCCACGGTGGAGCCCTGCAAAAACAGATCAGAAATGTAGCGACGTCCCTCTTGCTCTCTGGCTCCGGCACTGGTACAGCCGGAGCAGCCTTGGCAGTTGCCTCAGCCAGGAGGCAACATTCAGGGGCCAGCAGCATTTCAGGTACTTCACTGGTTGGAAGTAGAAGCTTGGTGCTGCTGAGAATTGCATCTGTGGCCTGTCTGTGTCCTCTTCTTCACTCATAATTCATGTAACTTGACAAAACAAAGCTTCACCCTAGAGATGCAGAACTGCCTACATTAGTACTTGCCAGAAGCAATGGCTTCACCAGTAATTAGGAAGAAAGTATCCTTTTTATTATGAAAAGGAATAAAAATATGACCTTTCCCCAAGTCATGACAAGTTTTGGGTGCCAGGGCATATAAATCACTGTCATGTAATTAGCAGTTAATCTGGTTCTTTTCTGGCATGAGTGAGTTAAGCAGCTGGAGCTTTGCTGAGCAATGATTCTTGGGTCACAGACCCAGGGATCACTGACGCTCTGCAGCAGACGTAGGGTGGTTCTGCAGTCCAGTGTCCCCTCTCCAACAACAGCCGCTTCCACTTGTTGAAGGCAAACCCACCAAGGTGTTTCCTGGGAAACATCACCCTGTGCGGGTGTGGGAAAATCTACCCCTCTTCCTCAAAGAGGTGTGGGGGTTTTTTTTAGTGAATATTTTTTACTTAAGTGCTGATCTTATACCTGAAAGCATGAGATTTTCTGTGCTTTCCCATACCCTTCCAGAGGTACAAAAAGATGCCCTGGATGGACATCCAGAGTTCATACTTGTTCATCTCTCTCTGCATTCTGCATAGTATATGCTGGATATTTTCGCCAAAGATACAGCAATGCAGATCAGGCAGCAGGATGCAACTGCAGCATATTTCCCTGGTGCTGACATGAACAGGAATAAATAACTGCACTGATGCAGCTGGTCAGAACAAAAGAATATAGGTATTTAGCTAGCACTCAGCACTTCAGAGAGACCT